ATCCTCAAATCATACGCACGACTGGCTTCAACGAGACAAAATAGAACGGCGGCGTGCGTGTCACCGAGTATAATAGGTAGAACGACGAAAAAGGAAATCAGAACAAAAAACAGAAAATAGTGAGAGGGACAGAGAGAGACGGAGAAAGAAAAAAAGAGGTTGAAAATTCTGTGACACATCGAAGCGCGGGAAAGTTATGTGGAATAGCGAAAACAAATAATCGTTTTCCGTAACAATGCGCACAGCAAGCTGCTTCGTATTTTATTGTTGCTGCCTGCGTGTTTACCCCGGCAATTCGGATTTATCGGCAACAAATGGATTTATGGCCACGACGAGATTTTCAAAGGCCGATCAACAATTGATTCGCGTCTTCTAGTCATATTCCATTCAATGTGGGTCACGTGAATTGATTGCGTCACCGATCGAAAATATAACCAAACGAAATTTTATTTCGACGACACGCTTCGGTTGTGGTCGATTTTCGAGATCACGAACGCCCCGATAGTCAAAGAAAAAAGTAAAATTTAGGTACTGTATTTTTTCTACCCTGGTAACACGTTATATTTTATTGGTCCAATTTGATTTTGTATGAAAGTAAATTAAAGGATTTTCGAGCATGGTTTTTATGAAAAAAAAGAAGATATCGTAGAAAATGTTGCGATACATTTAACAATATGTACAGTGTATTCGTCGAACCTATTTTTCTGTTGTATTGCTGTTAAATGAATCGAACGTGTCGAATCATTAAACGTAAGCGGATATTCCGAATTTGTGAAGCTTAAAATACCGAACACGTGGAATTAAATGGGCGATAACGCGGAAATCCCGAATTTTTGATAAGAATAGCAAATATTGATTTTTATGTGCATATTTGATTTTCTGTTCTAAATTCTAGCTATAAAGTAACAGGCAGATTGTGCTGGTAGCTTTAAACAATTTTTTGGAATATTCTGCGAAAGGTTCGAATAAATAGGTCAAATTCTTAGCGAGATAGAGAATCTATTGTCTAGAACACTACAATTTTGCAAAGAGTGCGATCCTAGTTTCGGTAAAAGATATTTCTCAGATGAATTACTTGTATCTTGTTTTATTTGAGACATTGATTTCTAATAGTTTGAACTCAATGTTTGAACGTGTGTAGTGAGATATATAAAAGGAAGCAAAAATCGATTTTTAGAAATTACATTTTCTAGAGAGGAATACAATTCTTTTTTCATTTTTCTTAAAGAGAGAATTTTGCACGTTGAGTTTCATTGAAATCTTCGAGCAATTGTATAGATGCAACGTGTGAACAAATAAGGGAACGACGTGACTCGTACGCATTCATGTCCTTCGTTCAAAAATTGCATAAAGGATCTTTCCCTTGCGTAGTATATAAAGTGTTACTAAATATCAAGAACTGTACTTAGGAACTGATGTTGCTTCAAAAATCAATTTTCTTCATTTGCTATAATTTATTCATTTTTCGAAAACTTATGTTAGAAGTGAATATAATGTTTAATATTTCGTAGAATTTTAATGACTATTAGTACAGCGTAAATTGTCGTGCGAAGTTCATTAAACCCGGTGAAAAATGAAGTAATATAATGTTCTAACACATTACTTCAAACATGATAGTTGTATGGTACATGATAATTAATAACACGTTATACGAACTTTCACACTATATATTCTAAACTATGTTACTATGTCATTATTTTATTCACGCGTTCAATATCTTAAAAGTTATTTATGGACAGAATATAGAGCTCGAACGTTAATTTATGTCAGTTCATTTTATTATACGTAAAATTAATAGACTCTCGCTCAATCCTTGTCACGCACATTTTATTTTAATATGTATAGAATCGATTTTCAAAACAAGATACGTACATATCGATGGTCCTAATTTATTAATGAACACGAAGAAAAGTCAACAAATACGAGTAACGAAATGAAATAAAATCTCAAGAATACGTATGGCAAATATGAAAAGAATATTCCTTGCAAGAAAAGAAATTATTTTTTTGATTTATTTACGACTCACCTCGTATATCCGTATCGAGGATCGTCCTTACGGAGATTATAAATGATCGCGTTCGATTCTCTCTGATCCTCTTTTCCACGGACCCCGTTGCACGGCTGGAATGTTTCATTTTCCTCTGCAGTCATTACGATTTCTGACGCGATATACACGAACATAATCAAACATATGCTGCTTTATACGATACTGCAGCGCCTAATGCCTCGATTACAGCGAGATGAAGCGGCAAAACGACGCAGCATATTCCGTATAAACAACGTCATAAAAGCATTGTGGACGCATGGAAACTTTTTCCAGCTGTAGACAAGGAAAACAGGATGAAGAGAAATACATTTAAAAATGGTAGAAACGATTCTTTACTGTTTAATCACGATAAATAGCACTCATGGTAATTTATAAGAAATAATTATTATAACATTTGGTAAGGCAATATCTTTGATTATTTCGATCGTCTTGGTTACCTTTATTCTTTACAAAAATTGTATTTTTAACGAAAATTTCAAGAGGATTTTGTTCATAAAAATTATACGACCGAGAGAGCTGTAACGTTTCATTAATAATTCAAGAGATTTCGTGAAAAGGAGCACATACAACAAAATGGTGATTTCAGTACACCATTTAAGGAGTTTTAGCTCTAGTTTTTTCATAGCTACATTTGGATTGGTAAATGTAGTAGTCCATAAACTTCGTTTGTTTTATATTTACGAGGTGAAGAAAAAAATGATTTTTAACCTAAATAGATAGTTCTATAAATCTTTTTCTTAAAACCCTCTCAACTTTTGTTTTACTATTACACGGTTTTTAGAGATTTCGACATCACTTTTATCGTCTTAAAATGGAATTTCATACTTGTCGGTTCCTATTAGAACAATAGATGTTTAAATAATTTTAATAATCTGTACTATAACATCGTTTAATGTTACACAAAGGAATGAAGCAACGATTCTTGTGCCATAGAAAGCATTATAATCATGCGTCATAAGACGCATAGAAAATCCGACTTTCAGTCTGAAGTGTTAAAAGTGTGAAAGGAGAGTGTTTGGACCAAGTGCTCGAGATTATTATGTGAACAAAGGGTATGCGAGTGCGCAAGATTTTGGATGAACACTCCTGAATTGTAGACATTCTAGGAATTACTACATCGAGTGAAGAAGATTGAGAAGTAGAGAAAGAAAGGATGTGCATATGCAAGGAGAAATGGTTGGGAAAATGCATGCGTAAGTTCAAAGTTCAATCGAGACCAGAGTTGAGAGTGGAGTTTAGGATTACAGTTGGAATTTTTCAGTAAGAGTTTTGCAACCGTTTTATCCAGCGGACTAAAAGTTGCATTTTAATCAAGTTATTACTAGATATTACTAGTATTATTAAATTACAATTATTGTTGGACATATTATGAAATGTTACTGATTTATTTAAAATTGATACTAAATTTAGCATTGAATATATGTGCGTATTATTAACGTTTTACGAGTTAAATATCATTATTAAATGATATTATTAAATGAGTTCTGACGTGCAATGAGTTTGAGTTGAAATTTTCATTATTAAATTCTGCAGTTCAACATTTCTACACTAACATTAATAATAATGTTATATATATAATATAAACTCGATATTCATCAAAAATCGATTCTGTCACTATGGCCAATAGACGAAACGAGATAACTCGCGAAGCGATGAGTCGACAGAATAATTTCGATTACGAAATGACCCAGTTGACAAATTAAGCTAGGAACCTTGGCTGGACGAAACTATTCGTCTATTTGGTGTCTCCAATTCTTCGAGATCGGCCGATAATAGTGGCGCGAAAAGCTTCTCGTAAACTTCGATTAAACTTCTCAATGTACGGTGTAATTTATATTCATCAATGCATGAGTAATTCTTAAAGCTTGTTATAATAACTTTCGTCGGTAAAAGTGATGGAAGATAGAGAAAAGTTGGATTCGTGCTGTTGCAGTTTTCAACTTGATAATTAATTACCGCGATACGAAACAACGGGTGATCCCGCAGAAATTGAAGAGAAATTTCGTTACGTATACATGAAGGGATAAGGAAAACAGGAAATTGTACAACTTTATGCTTTTAAATCCTTCCTAAATGGCTGTTACATAAATGGATAAACGGTAACAAGGAGAAGAATTGAGAAGAAGCAACAAAGTTGAGATTAGGATTTATTTTATCATGGTGGTAATAGAATAAAAAATGACTCGGCGATGTTCACATCTTTATATCATTATATTTTAAACTCGTCTTAATTGCTTTTAAGGCAATTTCGGTTTCCATGAAGAAATTTTTTTGCTGCGAATATAATTTCTCAAACATATAAAAATTCATTAAAATTCAATCCTCCGATTCCACTTCTAGATTAAAAAAGGAAAGAAATCTCTAAAAATTCAACAAACTATTTCACAGCACATGTTACACGCAAACCCAACTTAGAACCGCACCAAATCTCATTCCCTAAATCAAATTCTCGCACAAGAGTCCCCCACATATCCCTTCCCTTCTCAAAACATCCCGTTTACACATCAGGATCATAGTTAGCCTAGCTCGTACTCGATTAAAATATTTCATTCTCGCGTTTCCATGTCACAACAGAAAAATCCGTGACACGGCCTTCCGACGCAATTAACCGGCTTTTAAGACTTCAGCTGATTTAGAACGTGGAAAGGCTGAAGATATAGAGAGGAAAATCTTAAAGCAATTACCGGTTGATGTAATTAGCATGAAAAGTTACTGGCGCGGTTCACAGGAAGACAAAGAGAGAGTTTCTCTATTCGCTTCTAGCAGACCTGAAGAGGCACTCGTGTCGGCGTGCCTGGTCGCCGGGACGATTGTAAACAGATATTTTTACGATATTTTCTTGGTAGAGTCTTACACAGGTGCGACGCGCATGCGTCATACTGTTGGCGGCAAAGCGTCGGGACGCTCGTCCTACACCAGCCAGTTGACGTAGCCGCGTCGTCCACGTAACAATATGCTCCCAGTTTTCGCGATCACGGTTCTCTGCATCGCGACATGGGCATCCGCGCTGAACGATCCGCTCTCAGGTAAATCGACCACATCACCTGACCAGCCGATACATTTTTGCATTAAGTTCTTTTATCATTATCAGTGAAATTGAACCATTTTTTCGTCATATCTTTCTCTTGGAATTTCTTTTAAAAAAAGTATTTGAGAAAATATTTTGATAACGCGTTGTAATATGGTTAAGTACGTTTACAAGCCAGTTATAAGAGCGCGCAAGTGTTCACGAATGTTTGCAAGCTACTTGAATAGTTAACGGAGACGTGCAATGTATACGAGCGGAAACCCTCGTTAATGTCTGCGAGTGTTCTCGAGGAGTGTTCCTATACATTCGAAGAACGAAATTCGAAGTAAAAGCACGTTTATACGAGAGGAAGAATCTATTGCCTTTTGTTGGTGGATTGAGGGGAGATAGAAGTGAAGAGATCCTTCTTCGCTGACATTTGTCTGATGGCGATGATCAACAGACGCTTGGCGAGAATGTTTGAAAAACATCTTCGAATGTTTATGCGCATTTTGTGCTTTTGATAGAGACTCGGTTGTAGACGTTTGGTATGACAGTTTCTTGGAAAATTGTTATCAAAACCGAAGTTGTTGGATGTGAGATGTGGATTTTTGAAAGATACGTTCTGACGCTTGGTTAGTGTTGCAGTTAACATTCTTAGAAGTTTAATGGCCTGTTGGTAATATATTTCACTCGATTCACACATGGTTGATTACCAGTATAGTACTTCGTATGTGTACCTATACATTTACGACAAGTGTAAGTAGGTAAAAACGAACAAGCAGAGGTATAGATTCAAAAATACATAAAACATCAAGAGTAAAATTTATGTGTGTATTATAACATTTGGAAGATAAAATATACTGTTACTCAAATTTAGTTAGCTTTAACACGAATTTGCATAAACATCCGCGATTTAATTATCAGTGTCGGGGCTCTAAATGCAATGCTAACGAATTGTTAGAATATGTACCACGCAGAAGCCAAATTGACCATCATCTGTAAAATTAGAGGCTAAATTAGATTCTACTAAAATTAAGGTACAGCTAAAAATTGTTCAAAAGTGCAGTTATACGATTTGGCTTCTTAACGTCTCATGCCTCTTTCAAAAAAAAAAACGCAGTTTACATTTAAAAGTCTCGATTGTGATAACATACTATAGGACCACGTGAAAAGTTAGCAATTTTTGGAAAATTATTACTGAATTTTTCAAAAAAGTATACTTGTATCCAAATAATCACCACAGAACAAGACTATTTGTATGAAAAGAATTTCAACAGAATCAATGTGTGTTCTGTGATATAGGCCCACGTGTAAAGCCTCCAATTTTTGAAAAGTTGTGTATTGAATTTTTTCACAATTTTATGGTACCTATAGAACAATGTGTCAGAGTTTTCAATTCTTGGAAAAGTGTCATTGAATTTTTTCACAGTTTTATGATATAGGGCCACGTATCAAAGCTTTCAGTCTTTAGAAACCTGTCATTCAATTCTTTTACAACTATGCGCTATAGAATCACGTATCAAACCACTTTCAGTTTAAAAAAACAAACCTATCATTGACAACTATCTGCACAGAATATTTCGTATATTGCAATATTATAGCGTTTCTGTTGAAATTTCATCAAAAGACCAATCGTAAAGGGACACCACGAACGTTTCCACAAGTCATAACGCAGTTAGGATATTTTAGTGTTTACGTCCGATATAACAGTGTTAAGTTCTGAATGCCAACTTCCAGCGAGCGTGTGCTAAATTTTACGTGTACAGGAGATACGTATCGTTGTGTGTCAAATCGTCTCCATCGTCCATTTGGTCACGATAGAGAGTGTCTTATGAACAATCTCAATACGACGATCGTAAACTGACCGTTTGTAGCTGGCTTGTAATGGTTTGTTACGGTACGTCTAAACGAAGGAGCATAGGAAGACGATGGAGTGAGTGGTTGGTTACTGCTGCTTGTATAATCTATGTGTCACGTTAGACACCGTATACATATTTTATGAAGTTAATCACCGACAACAAAGAGTGTTATTTCGTTATGGTCTGTATTCTATAAACTACCGGTGGATATGTAGAATTTTTTGTAGTAGTGAAAAATGACTTGCGGTATGTTGGTGGTTCTGAAAGAAGGTTCTGAAACTTTTGTGATAGAATGTTCGATGGAGTTAATTTATTCGTAAAGAAATTTAAATGAAATATAAATGGCTAGTGAAAAGAAAATAAAGAAATTATGTAGCAAGTTTTTTGATATAGAATTTTTCGAACTAATGAGCATTTACATACTTATGTTTGGAATCTTGATTGAATAAGATTCCAAAATATTTGTAAATAATTACGATATTTAGAGGATCTAATTTATTAGTAGAGAAATTGAAACGAAGAAGGTAATGGCTGATAAAAAGGAAGTAAAGGACTATGATAAAATTCTTACAAGATCGTTTGAAGCAATGAAGAACTCTGTGTAAACTTTTAAATGTTTTCAGATGTTTTAAAAGGTTTTTAAATGTAGTTATAATATTCGGTGAAATTAATAAAAAGAAACATTTAAAAATGTAGGATTTTTTCAATTCTCTGTTGAGGAGGATTTTAATATATTTCTAAATGGCTATGATCTTTAGTGAACGTGAAAGTAATGTAGGAATGTTTATTATAAATTAACAGAAAAGAACAGTATGATAAACACAATATTGTAACACTCTCGCAAAATTGAATATAATATCGCACTTCACGAATTCGCTTAACACTATTTCTACGTCTCAGCAACACGATGAACTTCTCTCGATCACGATTAATTCAACTCTGACCATTACCATTACTGTAACAAACTCTGGCAACGGTCATAACACTCCTTGACAACATAACATATCTTAACAACGTTTATAAACAATCAGCCACGTCTTTCGCTAACGTCACACCATCCCACAGTAATAATTAATAAAATATGTATGTAACGCTGTCTTCGTATTTTCCGAAACGACGAAAACTTTTGGGATTTTAATTGAATAAAATTTCAAATCTATAAATATTTGTAACATTTGACGAATTAGCTATAAAAAAAATTGATACAATTAATAGGAAGAAACTAAAAGAAAAAATACATAGAAATTTTCTAAGCATTGTAATCGTTCTAACATATATAATTATTTTGTTAGTATTCGAGTTAGGAATTACACAAAGTGTTTCGGGTATAAAAGATTAATTACGTAGTTATAGAATGCAATTATCTTGCAAGATTTCCTGTTTTCTTATTCTGTACTATTTCCTGGATTTCCTGTAGCATTTGCAAGCATAACATCTCTCGATCTCACTTCCGTAGATGATTAAACAGGGGCTTTAATCCTAGTTCCTTCATCGTTCGCATGCAGTTCGTTACGTCTGTGAATCTTTCATTCACATGGAAGACGACATCTTAGTGTCAGTTGTCAGATTTCATGTTAACTCGTTCAGTATCTAACTTGCTTCCAGATATTCAAATTCTAAAGTCTTTCATTTCTTACTTTTACACGTGATTTAATACAAGTCGATCCATTTTCTGATAAAATCTGATTATTATTGACGTTGATTTTATTTCTGCAAGATATTTTAAAATATGACGGAATGCAATTCATAGGAAGCTTAAAATAAAATTATTCTAGCGTTGGTTAGAAAAATTCAATTGTGGAAGGAACGTTTAAGCACGCTTAATTATTCATAAATGTAAACTACTCTGTTACTTACGTTCACGTGTCTTCAATCATAGATTATTATCTTTACTATTATTTACTATTACTATCTAGTAGCACGTTCTCATGAATTTTATTCAAATGTGTACATCATTCACGTGTTCGAAATCGATAGTTTGACTTATACATCATGCTTTTATTTTACATTTTCAGTTTATTATACTATGAAATCTATATAGGGTGCTTTATAATCGATGGTGTAACCAAAAAGAGGATAATATCAAATTAACTAACAGCAAAATTTGCATAAACAGAAACTAACATCACTGCAAAATATAAAATAAAATCTTTTTATACCAGGCTTTGTTTTCGAGAAAATTGTTTCTAATTATTTGTCTAATCTATGTCCCGATTTTTATTTATGGAGTCATCTGCAATTAATTAAATTACATTTCCTAGAAAAATTATAAAAGTGGAGCAATTAGAAAGAAAGATTGTTTTAACATTTGGTGAAATAATGCGAAATTTAATATCCTAGAAATTTAATACGAAATGCAGAATTGTGTACTCAACAGAATGGGGAAACATTTTCAATAATTTCTAAAGCAATAAAATTTATCGTGCGTGAATATCTTGTTTCATTGCGCGTTATGCATTAGCCAATATAATAAACACAAACATAAGCACACAGCTGTAATACCTTTGGAGAGATTTATTAAATACCATGATTATATATATGCATCAAGTAAATATTTGAACTTAATTTGATGGAAAACAACGTCTTCGATACAAAAATTTTATTTTATTTTCCACCCTTGCCCTTTTTTTTATATAGAACCACTGGCTTCTCGATTAAATCGATATTCTCACCAATTGTAGGATGCCACGTATTATTTGATTACGTTAATCGTTTCTGGGCACAGCAATAATATTTACAATTACACTAATCGATATCAAATTTTTCATTTCTTTTCATTAATCTATTTTTCGTATTTTTCCTACTTATTAATATAGTTCTACTCCATTGTTCCATAAGTTTTATGAATGAAATGAAGTATAAGCTGTTATTTACGATCCACAGGTGCCCAAAGAACAGCGTATCAATTAGAATACGTGAAGACATTTCATACTCTCATTCTATTTAGGTCCTCGCTTTGAAATCGCTTTGGGTAAAAAATAGATTAATATAATTTTCATAGAGAAATCTCGATTTTCAGTCTCACAATCTCTAACTCACAGAGAATTTCTTACCTTTACATTTTTTATGTCGCTTTTTTCGTTTCTCTAATTTCTCATTCTCGTTAGTATTGAAACACTCACTAACACAGGGAAAATTTCTCAACTTTGTTTTTTCA